CTAGCCTGGCAGATGCTGCAGGCCAGGAACAGAGCCATGGCTCAGCTCTTGCTCCCTATTGCTTTTATCAGTCTGTTCTGCACAGTGACTGATGCTTCATGGGGGTGATCTTCTCCTGCATCATCTGGGAGCACCACATGTGAAGGATTTCAGCTCCCTGTGTCAAGACAAGGAGAGGGTATGCTGTGCTTTCTCCAGCACCCCTGGCCCTCAACAGCTGTGTGTGAGCAACCAGGACAAGATCTTTAAAGTAAGCATGCTAAAACATAACATTATTGCTGATAAAATAAGGGTAAAAATATCCCTTTGCATGTTGCGTGGGAATCCTAATAGCATGGGGTCTGCACTGGGAATATGCACTGTGTGGAAATCTCTTGTGTTTAGTTGGTACTTTGGGATCAAGGCAGTTGTAACATCTTTCTTAAATCCGTTCTGAAGTACTTAACTTCATGTTTAGGGAGATGCTAAGTTGGTGCTGAAGTCTTGTCCACATTAGTTCAGTTCCATTTCTGCAGGGAAAGCTGCTCCTACAGCAAAACAGAGGAGCCCGAGTGGGAGGAATAGGTTTATTCCAAGTGCGTTATGCAGTGTTGCTCCTTTAAAAGCAGGAGGGTCTGAGTCCCTAATGCTGTACAAGAATGAAGTTAGAGTGTAGGTTTGACTTTGATTCCTGGTGAATTCTGTGAATTATAGAAAGGAAGTGTTCATGGCAGGTTTTTGCTCATCTGTGCTGCACTCTTTTTTCTTTTTTTATGGTTTGTTTTGTTCTCTTATTGATTGTAGCAAGGAACAGTATCATTGAGGGAGCTTTAGACAAATAGAAGTATCAAGGTTGTGGGGTTTTATTTTAATTCCCCCCCCTGCAAGTGCTCCAGTAAGCACTCAGGATATTGCCTGCTGGAAAAGGTTGTTCTCATCTTTTTTTTTTTTTTTTTTTTTGTTACTAAACTGTGAAAAGTTCTCAGTCTATTTCATTGTCTTCTGCCTTCTGTTCTGACTTACTGGGGTGTCCCACCATCCTTAATTGACAAGGAGACCTGCTGGTTTTGAAATTTTTCTACAAACAGGTTTTCAGCCTGATTGCTGCAGCATAAGGGAGAGCAATGCTGGAAGACTGTGATGAAATTGCTCTGTAGATGGAAAGAAGTGATGTTAAAATACATGATATGACAAAAGTAGGGAAACTCTTAAGTCATGTGCAGTTTTGCCTCTGGGCTAGAAGAAAAAATCTTGTCCTGTGATTATATAGTTCCCTCTTCAGGTAATAACTTTGAGCTTTGGGAGAAAGATAGGTAAATCCTTGTTAAAAGCTGCCTTCACCTAAAATTTTGTTTGTAGGCCTCCCAGCCACATCATTTGCTGTATGAATGAAAAATCCCAATATCCCACTTCATGCCCAGACATAAGACAGGAGATTCCCTGGTAGGAAGCAGTTCTTCTGCTGGCTGTTGTCACCAACGTAGCTGATTGTGTTCGAGTTGGTCCCTTTGTGGGGAGATGCAGATGGTTTCAGGACCCTATGGACGTGGCCTGGCTTCCCTGTTGATTTTTGGGATGCAAAGGGAGCCCAGTTCAGGTGTAGAGATTGCTGTACTAGGTGAGACAAATCACCCATTGCCCAGACAACTCCCTAACTCTCCTGGGCTGTGCTCTGTGTTGGAGAAGAGCTCTGTGCTGGCTGTGTATGTCTCTATACTTGCTTTTGTATTTAGTTCAGATAAGCACCCAAAGGTGTAGCTGCTCACCAGCACTTTTCTCCTGTAGAAAAAGACCTAAGGAAATGCAAAAAACCAGGCAAGGAGAGATCTGTATGTCTCAAAAGTGTTTTCTGACCCTCTGGTGTCTGGAAAAGGCATTAGTTTGCTGGCACTGCTTCTTAAATGTGTCTGGGGAGCAGGGGTGCTCCTGCAGAAGAGGATCTGTGCAGTCTGAAGAGACAGGAACACTGTTGCTGTCAGACTGTGTTAGGGCCAGAGGAACGTGGTGGGTTTCTGTATGGCTTAGAGTGCTCTGCTTCACTCCCCTTGAGTTTTGCTTTGAGTTTGGGCGTGAGCCTCAAACTTCAGCAAAACCAGGTCAAGTCAGAAAAAAAGCACATGTAAAATAAGATTTCTCCTCCAACCTGTTGCTAGGCAGACATTGACTCAGAAAAGCCTGGGATTATGAAGAGGGCAGTTGTTAAAGCTTGAATTAGACCTGACTGTGTGTGTCAGATCAGTAACAAAAAAGGGATGCTGGGGCTTTACCCTGTGTTTTGCTATGGTGACACTTTGCCTTCTAGTGCAACAGCATATGCATCTATAACATGGATGCAGGAGGACCTCAGGGGATCTTGGGTGCTGTTTGGCTAAACTCTAAAAATGATATGAAGCTACTAATGAGAACAGATTTGCTCTATATTTCACTCAATAGGCTCGTTGTGGTTTTGCCCCAGCTGGCAGCTAAGCACCACACAGCTGCTTGCTCACTCCTCCCCCACCAAGGGGAGGATGGGGAGGAGAATGGGAAAAAGCCTGTGGGTTGAGTTAAAGACAGCTTAATGCGGTAGTAATAGTGGTAGTAATAGTGGTGATACACAAATGCAACTGCTCATCACATGCAGAAGGGAAAAAAAGCAGCCACCTGATGCCCAGTCTGTTTCTAAGCAGCAATCCTGCCTCCCTTCCCAGTTATATACAGAGCACAAGGTTCTCTGGCAGGGAATATCCCTCTGGCCAGTCTGGGTCAGCTGTCCTGGCTGTGCTCTCCCAGCTTCTTCTGCACCTGGCAGGGTGTGGGAAGCTGAAAAGTCTTTGAGTTAGTGTAGAAACTACAAGTACTTAGCAACAACTAAAAACATCAGTGTGTTATCAACATTGTTATCATCCTAAACCCAAAACACAGCACTAAACCAGCTACTAGAAAGAAAATTAACTCTGTCTCAGTCAAAATCAGGACAAGGCTATCTAGTAAAATTGGAAGAGGTTTTCATGTCCTTACAAAATCATTTGCATGACCAAAGTATAGTTTGCACCCTGCAGAAGGAAAGGGCCTTCTATTCTATAGCTGAATCATCTTCTGAAGAAAGGGGAAAAGGACCACAGGGTTGCTTTTAATCTTCACTTATCTCCACTCCTCTTATCCTAGAGGGGCTTTAAGACAAGATCTCCCCCCTTCCCCACCACACAGAAAGCCTCAGGCTGCAGGAGCATCTTCTAAATCTCTCCTGCTGGGAGCTCTTCCATTTTGTGCAAAGTACTTAAACATTAAAATTTAACCAGAGAGTAAAAATGAGGCTAAGACTCATTCAGGGACTCAAACGTAGGTCTTGTATGAGAGCGTGCCTATTAGTGCCTTTACTATTGTGGTATTAGATAAAAGGGAGGAAGGGGACAGGCTCGAGGAGGGTGGTGCAGTCAGCTGTGCCTGAGAATACAGCTTTTCATTTCCTCTAGCTTTGATGTGCTTGTTAGAAAAGCAAGTTAAGTCAAGCTTCTGCATTCAACAAAGTAGATATTTCATTTTAGTAGGAAGAAAGCAAAACACTTAGCTTAATCTAAGTCTCAATTTGACATACTGGCTTGACCAATGTCAGCTTTTATAGATGGCCAGTATAATTGTACTTATTTGCTGTCCTGGAGTTGTCTTGCTGGGAGAAAGCCTGCCTGCAGCCTACAACACTTTGGTTGCTATGAAATCACTTTTTTAAGGCAGCATAGAAACCAGCTGATACTGATTTATTCAGTGGCTTTTGTAGCTATGAAATAGTACCTGAGTCTCCCCTGGCTGGTGGAGGGGTTGCCGAAGCTGAAATCCTTTGCACCCGCAGCTTGCCTGCATCCCAGGTCCCCGCTTGCTGCGGGGGGCGTGGGGGGGTTGCCTGTGCAGAAGCGCAGGCGGAGAGTGCCGTCCTCAGATGGAAGTTGTGCAGCGCGGTGCAAAATCGTTAGAGACGGGGGCTCCTAATGGAAACACTTAACGCACAACGTGACTGGAGTTATATAATGACTATGGCTTATTAAACAGCCTCACTAGAGGCATGAAAGACAGGAGGCTGACGAGATTTTGGTATGCTACATTGGATTTTTTCCTGTCTATTGAGCCAGCAATAACTAGGTGTTATTTATTTACTTTTGGTGGGTGGTCACATAAAACTACAAACTCCTGTCATACAAGGAAGATCTTTGCTGTCCAGCCGGTGTGTCTGTTGGTGTGTAGCCAGCTAGCTTGCTTTCCAGAAGCAATGCCTGTGACAAATTGAGACTCGCGTGATTAAAATTGAATTTATTTTTGACTGCTTAATTTGTGTTTGATTGGTTGGGAGACAGGCAGTAATGCTGCAGACCTCTGTCATGTGAAGTTCAAATTATTTCTGCTTTTTTTGTGTTTTCCTTTTCTTCAGCACAGGTATAAAATGTTGTAGAGGCAATAGGGAAGCCCCTAGCCAGTCCATGGCTGGCTCTAGATGCACAGGGGCTGGGAGGGACCCTGCTAGAGGCAAAGAGTGATTCTCATCTACCAGAGTATGTGGCACGTGTTTTGGGAGGGAGGAACTTGCAGGATTTCAAAAAAGAGGCGTTTTAAGATGCCCATAAATGCTTCAGAGGTCATTTTTGGAGGTGTCTTGCATCTGTTCCTTTCAGGATTTTGCTCCCTGAGTCCCACACAATTGGACTCATGCAGCCTGATTCAGCATTCAGTTACTTTGGTTTTACACCACTATAATACCAGTGATTGAAATAGATAGTCATTGGCATAAAACTGGAACTGCACGATAGTGAATCAACCATACAGAACACAAGCTAGTTGGCTTCACAGGCAGAGTAAGAAACAATAAGCAAATTCTTTGCAACACTGCTAGCAAATATTCTTCTGAACGAGTGCCATATTCGGAATACATAAGCTGTCTAAAGACTTTCATTTGGTAGGTAACTTTCAGTGAAGCGAATGTTCCATAAAACTGTTACTTTCTGCTGCACCAACTGTGCATTGCATTTTACCTGCTCATCTAATCTCAACTTTATTTGCCTGTATGTCTATGTATATATTAATGTTTTACAACCATGCTTGAAAGGAATTACAGAAAGCTGTCTTATCTGCCAAGCACTTCTACATTTACTCAGGGCTTAATGGAGGCCAAGCAAATTGGGTCTCTTGCTACTTGGTGTATCTAATAATAATAATTATTTTTTTTGCAGAACCCCAGCTGAAAGGAATTGTGACAAGGTTATCAGGAATACTTCCTGCAGATGCACCCAGATGGTACAATTGATGGGACCAAGGACGAAAACAGTGACTACAGTAAGAAAAATTAGCCTGTTTTGCAACCCAATTACAATCAAATGCATCACCTAGTGGGTCTCACTTGTGCAGCTTTATTTTTGAAAAGATCAAATTAGGAAGAAGCCAGCTGTTTTCTGCACATTTTTTCTATCTAGCCTTCCCCTTTAAATCTTGCCTGTATAGTTTCATATGTTTCCTCTCTGATCATCTTCCCTCCTGCCCCGATTTTTTTTGGGGGGGGGGGGGGAGAATAAAACCCATGATTTGAATTGCTGCCAGAAGAGAAAGGAGATTATATTTATACACATGCCACGTGGGTAAAGGATATGGGGAATTCTCTCTCCAAGGAGAAGATGGGAAAAATGTTTTCACTATTTTTTCCAGAAAAATTCAGCAAGCATCATGAATTTCCATGCTACAGAAAACCAGCTGTTCACTAAACCCTAATGTAAAGGATGAGGGGATTGAATGACCTTTCCAAAGGAGGTCATCTTCCAAAACTCTGTTCAAAGGGCTCGGGTTCACGCTGTCCTCTATTGGACAGCAAAGTGTAACAGAGCCATGCAGGTTTAAAAATGATGCTCATGTGCAGGAGCCATATTGGTTTAAAGAAACATAAAGCAGCAGCCAATCTTCCTTTTGCCAAAGTAGTTTTGTTAATACCAAAGCTCCTCTAAAGGTGCACAACATTTTCTACAGCATCTTTTCATTTCATAGGTGTCAAGTTGATGCTTCTGAGTGGGCAGTAATAAGCTCAGATCCTAGGTGCTACAAACTGCATCAACAGAGTAGACTCAAGTCTTGATTTGTCATCCTGTGTTGGTTTGAAGCTCCCTGTGCCACTGCTGAAGGGACATCGTATCTAGCCTGTCCAGCATGGAGAGTGTCTTCCCAGTCATTACTAGAGGTGAACAGAAGTTCGTTTGTGTGGTAGGATTGATGGGAGAAAACTTCATGTACTTTGTGAAGGGAGGAACCTACTTAATTTAGAGACAAATCCTGCTCAAACTCCTAGCTGGGTCAAAGACATTGCTCCTTCAGGAAGGCAGAGCTTGGGCCGCAGGTGGGGGGTGTCTGCAGTGGTGCAGCACACATAGGCATTGATACAAGGGTGCAAGGTGGTTACAGCCCCATATCTGTGGTGTTTGCCCCATCCCCAAGAAGCTGGCAGAGTGCTCTGGCAGGAGCATTGTGCGTGTTGTGGGGCTGCTCTGCTGCAACCAGCTCAGGGCTGGGGTCCATGCATGAGAGAGGAGCTTTGGGAAGATGGCAACTGAAATAGCAAAGCCCTTGTGAAGTGACCCAGGAGGCTGCATTCACCAGAAACTTGGCCTGTAGCAGATGTGAGTGTCAGTTTTTAGCCCCCTTTTTCATATGCTGGCATTGAACAAATTAAATACCACAAATTGCAATGACACAGCTTCTAATTTATGTTGGAGCAGGAGAATCTGTGGATCTCCACACATACTTTTAGTCTGAGAGACTGAGCAGGTGTCCTCTACAAGAAGAGTCTGGCCCTGTGATTTTCTCAGGCAGACACCAACACATGGGATAAGTTCAATTTAGAGGGTGAGTAATGACCCAGTCTTGGGTCATATTAGGTGTTTTTTCTTAAAGAAGACATAGGGTGTTCTCAATCTGCTGAAAATCCCACTGGAGGCCTATTTGTCAATGACATGGGAAGAGCTGCTAGAGATGACAGGGATTCATTACCCTCATCTATCAGTGAGGACTGAACAACAAAGTAATGGGCTTAAATGGAAGAAGGGATGAATTTAGGTAAACAGCAGAGAAGAATAAAATGTAAGAGCAGTTCTGCAATATTTCAGGCTGGCAGGGGAGTTGAAGGAAGCTGCTGGTGGCTGCACCTTGGTAGGTGCAGGGGAACCTCCTGAGTCCTTATGACTGGGGTTGGGCCCCAGTTGCCCAAACAGCTCTTATTTATGTATCCCATTAGAAATGTTAGAGCTCGGCTTGGCAAGGTGCTGAGTACTTGTGAGCCACTTCCACTCAGTCATCTTAATTGGAAATAAATGGGCTGAAGGGCATTTCTAGAGTGTAAATTTATCTGGTGAGATGGCAGCCCTGCCTTGGCAGCCTGGTGGGACAGGAGGCATCTAGCTGAAGTGTGCCAAGCCACTTGCTCAAAGTTATGGGCTATGTTGGGAAGTTTTTAGTGAAGTTTTTGAAAAGATTGAAGCTAAAGAATTCCCCATCCCCTGACCTCAGAGGATATAAAAAGAGGAAAAAATCCAACATGATAATACTTGGCTTCTGAAAATGAAATTAAGAATATGCTTTATTCAGTTCTGTTTAACTTTTTACCACATGTTCTCCTTTGTATATCTTCAGTTTGAGTCAACATTTAATATTATATGAAGCTTCCAGTCATAGCTTCAAAATAAAATCACATTTTTTCACTTTGGAAATGCCATAATAAAACATACTGACTATTTTTTTCCTTTTCTATTCCTCCAAACATCTCAATTTTTGACCAGAAAAAAGTAAAAATTCACTTGTCTAAGTAAACAGCTTACAGATTTACTTCACTGATATTTTATGATTTAAAATACTTCTCCAGAAGTCTCCTGACCAGCTAGTCAGAAGTCTGTGCAGTATTGCTTTGCAAGAGCAAAACTCATCAAAGACTAGATAAATAATATTTCCCTGTCCCCGGAGAGGGGTTGGTTAACTTACATCCACTGGCAGAGAAGGGCAATCTTGATGGCCACCTCAGCATCCTTCCCACCCTGGATGACCATCTCTTCTCCATGCAGAAGCCATCTTAGCACAGTTAAATATGCGGTGAACACTGTGTTCCATACATTGCTCTGTGTTCTGTAGCCGCACACTGATTGTTCAAATTAGTGTTATGAAAGGAAGCTTAATTTTCATGGAATACATTAGGTTGGTTTACACTGGCAAAATAAACTTTTAAAATGAGACACGACATGTCCCTCAGATATGTCTGATGCAATTAAAAGTTCTAATAAAAATCCAGTTATTTATATAAGAGGAACTGCTAATATTTAAGCAATTTTTAAATTAATTATCTGGTGCCCATTTTATGTGTGTTCTTGAGAGGCTGATGGCATTTGTATTCCACCTCCTCTCACTTAAAGAAAAAGAAAAAAAGCCCAGAAGCCAAGTTCTAATGGCATTTGAATGGGCATGAAGCCAACTTCCTGCGAAACAGCGCTTGGGACATCTGTTCCTTATACCATGCAGTTAAAGACACACCATCTTAATGTAAGCAAGAAGACAGATTCTCTGCCTGCTTGCATTGGATTATATGAAGAATTTTATTTTAATCGGATGTGTTTTCTTGGTATACGAGGCCCTTGTTTGTGTTCTTACTAATGTTATATATGAACCTGAATTTGGGCCAGTATCTTTTCCTTCTAACTCTAGTCATCTCAAATGGTCTTTCAGAGCTGACTGTTGCTGTCAGTGCTTGCATCATTATTGCTCTTCCCTGGGCTAAGCAGAGTAATGCCCCTTCTTACAGAGAACAACTGGACTTCTTTGTTTGCCAGCATAATCATGCTGAATGTCTGAAAAGCTTCAGCAAATGGATGGTACATAAAGGATATGCACTGACCAGGTGGAAACAGTCCACCATATCTAGGATATTGCTTGGGGCTTTCCAGCCAGAAATGCAAAAAGATTAAGGCTGTGGAAACCTTCTGGTGGTCCCCAGTCCAACAACCTGCTTGGAGCTGGGTTATCTTCAGCTGCACAGAACCTTGTCTAGTTGTTTCAAATGTCTTCAGGAATGAGATATTCCATAGCTTCGTAACTTCTCTGCTTCCAGTGCTGCACTATTATCATTGTACAGAATTCTCTTTATATCCAGTCATAATTTCTTTCTGAGGCTTTTTTCTAGTGCCTCTTGTCCTTTCATTGTGATCCTCCGAAAAGAGTTTGTATCTGGCTTTCCATTCTTTGAGCTAAGCAAACCCAGTTCCCTCAGTTTCTTCTCTCGTACATGTTGCACCACAATCTCTCGATCATCTTAGCAGCCTTCCTCACCCCCTTTAGGATCTTAAACCTCCCCATCTTGTGGTACACAGAGGCTGCTGTTGCCTATTGCATCCTCCGTTAGTTCTTCCTTATTCATGTGCAGCACAAATGTCTTGCTCTGGAACAAATCACCTGGTATAAATTAGTTTAGTTCCTCTGACTTAACTACTGTTTAAATTAGCTGAGCATATGGACCACATCTTATGTATGGCATGTCTTGCTTTGCTCTTCCATTTCTGTAAATAAGTTAGCCCAGACCCATAGCTAAGTATATGTTGAGATTTTAAAAACATGTTATGCAGCTGGTAAACTGCCATAATGCAACAGCGAACAGCATGCTCAACGGGTGTTGCTACCATGGTCTGCAGCAGGGTCCCGGGGAGCCTGGGAATTGCTAGTGCAACACAGAAACAACCCTGTTGTGCTCTGTGCTTTCTTAGCATGTATAGGTGGAAAGAGAGAGACTGAGAGACCTGTGGGTGTTTCCAGGTGGAACTTCTCACCCACTAATTCTGGGTATTATCACCTTCCTGCCTAATGAATGCTTTGAATGGTCTGTCACAAGTTTTCTGTGCAAGACAAATTGGCTGTAGGGAATGAATGATGATGCCCATTTTGTTTCATTATTAACAGTAAGATGCTCCGTTTTTCAGTGGGGGAAAAATTAGGGAAGGGGAATTGCTTGTAAATAGACTTAATTGCAGAGCATTTTAGACTTTCATAGTAGTGAGAAAGTGAGAGAAATACAAGCTTACTTTGGTTAGTGAGCTTTTCAATAGTAGAACTGCACTATAATGCAGCTCTCTAATACTGAGTAGCTGCACTGGGATGTGGTTTCATCTGGGGACACTGTCAGAGTAGCACCATCCTTGACTCCAGTTGTTGACAGACCAATACCCAGGCTGGACTTCATTTGCCATATACATCTGTTGACATCCTCCCATGAAATCACAAATACAGGCACTGGCTTTGGTAAGACAGGCTTTGATATTTTACTGAATATGGTGCTTAAAAATATGAAAATGGGCTGAGAGTAGGTTTCTTTTCACCAGACTCAAAGAGCCTCCCTTTTAGGCAGCTCACAAAAGGGAGTTATCCAATCTTCTTTGGGAATTGAGTGAGGAAAAAAAGGGCATTCATGTGAAACTGGGACTTGTGAATCGCTTTTTGGAGACAACCTGGAAACCAGCTTAGCCAAGGCACCTGTTGGATATCTTGAGCAAAGTGGCTTTCTGTCTCCTGTGCTTTTTTCAGGTTTTACTTCTGAAAAGGTATCCACCTCTGACCTTTAAGCAAATCCACCAAGAGTTCAGGTTGAATGTAACTGGTTTCCCATTACATTTCACACACCCTTTGGGCTCTGCTTTTTCATTTAGAAATTGTGAAAATCCTGGGACTTTGGTACAGACTTTGTAGTCTGAACCACTGGCTGCAAAGAAAGAATCAAGACAGTTTTGTTTTGGTTTTTCTTTTTTTTTTTTTACCTCTCCTTTCTCTCCATGTTAGCTATACTTTTTTTTTCTTTGGAAAGGAATCTAAACCCTCCCCTCTGCAGTAATTCACAAGCTGTACATGAAGGAGGTTCTTGGTAAGCATCTTGTGATTAAGTTGAATCCATACATTACCTGGCATGTGCTAACCAGTCTCTTTGGGGCGTGGGTTGATGTTGAGCTGGACTTGGATTCCCTCCTGTCATACTAGGATTAACACTAGCCTGGCCTGAGGAGCTATGGCATTTTGAATAGGTCATCTCAGCAAAAGCTGCTTTATCCTTCAGGGCTGATGTTAAATCAGCAGTGGTTTATCTACCAGGGAGGGAGAGGCTGGGAGATGGTGCAGTGAGAAGGACTGTTTCTCCCACAACTGTTATGTGAAGGCCCTTTGTGCTGTGCTTGCTCCAATGTGATGTGTCAGGCATAAAGCTTTGTAAATGATCTATAAAATGAATCAGCTAGAGGATGATGTCCTTAACAGTCAGCTGGAAAATATGAATGCTTCACTCTCTGCTCTGTCCACTTAGTCTTTTTTCTGCACTCTGCTAATTAACAGGTCTCTCCTGAGCTAATTTGAACACCCTAAAGCTCTTGAGAAGTTTGAAGTAGGCTTATGCAAATGAGTGTGTTAAAAAGCCATGAGAAATGCTTGATGAATGTGGAAGTCTAACCTCGTGACTAGGGAATCAGAAAAAAATTTCTTGTTTCAGGGCAGTTGTGTGGGAAGAGACCTTGAGTGAAGTATTTCCATTGTGTCTGCACCCGTGTTTCTGCCGAACCCTGTGTCCATCTCCATATCCTGAGCAGCTGAAGCACAAGGGGTCCTACAACATCTGGACACTCTCATCCTATAAATCTCAGTGGAAGCAAAGTCATGTGAATGCATCAGTACTCAGTCTATCAATGGTTAAAGTCCTCTCCTCTTTGAGCCCATTCTGTTAGAAATGTAGCAAAAGCCTGATAGTATGTTTATGTATATGCTCATGGGAAATCTCCTTCAATGAGATACAGGGTCTACTTGGAATCAAGCAATAAATTAATTGTGAGGAAGTGGTTGCAATCAGTAAGATTGCAGTAGAATTGAGTATTGAAAGGTCTTGTCCTCTTCCATCCTATCTAGTTCTGCTTCTGAATGAGGAGCATTGCTCTGGTCCTGGAGTGGAGCACTATCTTTTCTTGAGGTTCTTCATTCTTTTAACAGCAGGGATCACAGGGGCAGACACACAGTCAAGTTAATTTTCATCCTTCTGGCCGTGGTTGCTGTCTGTATACTCTTTTAGCATATGGCAAGTGCAAGTGTGACTAGACTCAAATCTGTTTCAGGATCAACTAAACTAAGTTGTGTTGTTGTGTTTGCCATGGGCAAAGACGTGTATGTGTGCAGTTACCACAGCTCAGCTGGCCCGTGGAAAGCCGTTGAGATGCGCTAGCTTGAGTGTACATCTGAGCCCTTGGCATTGCAAAGGCAGTGATCAGACAGACTGATGGGTGCCTTAAGGCTTCTGGGAGGCAGCCAAATTCAGTACTTTTTGAAATTTGCTTTCACCATTAGCCCCACAGCTGCAGATCTTTCCTGTAGCCAGAAGCAGGACTTTTGATTCTTGTTCAGTATCTTTTAAGAGTCAGGAGTGGGGTGGGCTGGCCCTGGGGCAAAAAGCAGCTGCAGCTGTGCAGGGTGATGTTTCCATAACCTTTGCTTTTCTTTTTCTTCTGCAGCCCTTTTCAATTTAATTCCTGTGGGTCTTCGCGTGGTGGCAATCCAAGGGGTGAAGGCAGGTCTGTACGTTGCCATGAACGCTGAGGGATATCTCTACAGCTCAGTAAGTACTTTGCGCTTTTGGGTTCCTGGAGTGGTTTGGTTTTGAAGGTGGAGAGGGAAGAGGCTGCGCTGGGACTTGCAACTTTTTCTGAAAATGGTCACATATCGGCAAACCTTTAAAAGCAAGAACGGGG